CCAGTATCGCTGTGCAGATGCTAACCTAGACGTTGCAGAAGTGGAACGTAAATAACCGTCAGGCACTTTACGTGATGATTCATTTGCGGTTCCTCCCAATCAGTGGTCATGATTGCGTCCAAAGGGCCGTCGTCACCAAATTCATTAAACATCATCGACATGATCAACGGCCACTTCCAGCAGGAGTTCCTCCATGCCGTGTTCTCGCAACGACTTTAAACATCAACAACGGAGTCCGCCGCCGCTTTCCTGGGACAGACCAGGAGATATGTTGCCGAAACCGTTTGTCTTCCACTTTTTAAGGAGTTCAAAACTGTCATCACCAGAAGCTATGGTTTTTCGCGCCACGGACTTAGCGCCGACCACTAACCCTTAATAATGACGATAGGGTTCGTTACACCGCAGAAAAGGACCTGAAATGTTTTCTTCATAGACGACTGCTGAAGTGCTAAAAGAGTATAATTGTTTCTAACGATTTTGGACCGGGCACCCACATGGTAATAGTCGTCTATAGTCTTTGGTAGAAGCCAAAATTGTGCATATTTTGTAAAGCAGAACGGTAAAGACCACTCACGTGCTAATGCTGCGCTATTAGTTTTTTCTTAAAAATTTTCTACCGCTTCAAATTATACATGATCAGTCTCTCGTAAATAGGATTATTCGTTTTACATTTCAGTTCAGTATTCCAATGTGTAAGAAAGCAAGTTTGACATTCGAGAGTACAAAATGTGTTTTCATCGACAACAACTGAGCATTGTTCTCGTGTTCTCTGCAGAAGAATCAAGTGCGATCCGAAGTGCTTATGAATTATGAAATCCACTCTTTCTGCGGTGTCTGTTAGTGATTATGTTTGTTTGATACCGTTGTTATCATATTTTGTATTGGATGTTGATATATTCTCTGAATACTGAATAGATTGTTTTCGTGGATTCTTTGAAAGGGGCTTCGTCTTGATACAGAGCAACAGTTTTGTAATTAATGCACATGTAAATATACAGCTATTAAAATCTTCTGTCCGGAATCACTCCGTCCCCTTTCTTTCGTAGTCTAAAGGAACGGTTAGACAGGTATTTTAACGGCTGCAGTGGATGGGCGCAAAATTGCACCACTTTGTTTGGTCAAATCTGCTCCTGCTCTAACACAAACGAGTATACCTTGATCTGAGGGCATACATGATAAAAATTAAGCTCTGTATTATTGGCTGGCGTATAAATAGAAGATAGGTCTTTACATTTTGGAAAGTTTTTGCTGTTTTTTTCAATCTGTGCGTTTTATCCGTGTCTTTCAATGCACTTCGCAGCGAAACGTACCGGTTTCTCCGAGTGAGAGCAGTAGAGTGCTGTTCGAAAAATTCAGAGCTCTGTATTTTGAAAACCTGTTGCTTTGTACAGAGTTGAAACCCATTTCAAACAATGCATGGATGCCTGTAATACTCCACTCTTGAAACAGTTTCTCAACATTTAATGTCAAATATGTTAACTTGCAGAAGAAACTGATTTCATGACGATTCTTAGACGTTTCCAATCCAATTTAATAGTTGATTCGGCTTCAAAGATCATGACAATCGCACTTTTTCTCAATGATAAGGATCTTATTCTTGTACTTTTGTTAATCTCTGTTTTTATTCTTGTTTTATGCGGTCTGAAAAACGTTTAAAAGCCTTAATCGAAACGTGTTTCTTGCTTATCGATCTGAATTTGTTTTTGTAATATAAGTTATATGAATCGAACGAGCTGGGAACCGTCTGCCGTGTAATTTCGCTTCATCTTCACTGCAGATTTTTTCTCATCTTATGTACTTGCTTTTAGTTGCGCAATTGACCGGTAGGAAATCTGTCGATAATCATCCTCATAGAAATTTACGAGAGATTTTAACGCCTACATGCTTTATTTCCAGTCTGGATTTTCAGATCCGATTGTCCTTGGTCTAGTCCTTGCACAGCTAGACTTAAATTTGAGTTATTTTATCTGTGGTACCTTTTTTACAAAGTTTCATTGTTTAAACTTGTAACTCATTACCTGCTCATATTTTTCTAGGGTGTTACCTACTGTGGAACATCAAAGGATAGCCATTTGACAATGGAAAATGTACCTTGGCATTCCGAAGTTATCTGTTTCGGTATTAAGCTGATGGAGCATTTGAAAGATTACGAAATCGCCACTGAACATAAACATTCTAATTGCATACTGCTTGCCAAAACAAAGGTAGGTGATTGTTTGACATTCGTTGATGTTAAAGCTTAATCACTGATGAATCATAGTTAAACGACTTAATGTAGCACTAATTGTATAACATTAGTAGGTGAAGGATACATGTACGTTTTATCGTACACATGTTTAGCCCGTTTGTACCGAAATTTCTTAGAACTTTGGGGTGTTTTGTATCCACGTGTTCCGGAATTTTCGTTTTATGGCAAGGCATGCACCCGTTGAGCAGAATGAAAGTTCCAAATCACAGTGACCTTACAATACTCTAATTTTGTGCGTTGCTGGCAGTTGCATAATTAAAGCTGTTCCTTCCTCAAGTTTTGACTAATTGCCACTCTATTCGGGTGTATGAATTGCGCAGTTGTGCCATTTGATGACCCATGCTCCTTGTTAAGTAATTTTTAAATCTTAGTAAATGGATTGAACCTTATAAAGCCACCGCCCTAAAGAAGGCCCACAGAAGACGAGCCGAAATATCCGTATTGCTTAATCACGCGATTAACCAAATTGTTTGTTTGCTTTATTCTTAAATAAACATTTTTTATACATTTACAGAAATAATTAACGGTGCATTTAAACAGACGCGCAAGATCTCTCTTGTCATTGTCCTTTCAGTGGAATCCACATTATTGTGCGAGTTCTTGCAATATTATATCACAGTGTTTTTCTCGCAAGGGGTCATATTTTCCGTTTTCTGATATATCTGAGTAAGCATCATCCGTTTCCGGATCTTTCCTTTGATTTGTTCATGAGTCGACATGATTTCTGCAAAGGGTAGCTGGCGTAATATAAAGTTTGATCAGGTTTACTTTGGGAATGAATTCCGATGATGCCCATACCCTTCTCGTGAAATCGGTGCAAATAACCTTATGAGCAAGAGTCGCGTGGTTGTCTTTAATGATCATGTCTTCAGGCTTATCTGAAAATCATAT